CGGCGATCAGCATTGTACATCCAATGCCGGCTCATCTGCATTACATGACATAAATACCATATTAAAACCTAGATCATAATTAATTATTTATACAATATGCGTGCCACCACAAAAGGTACAAATTTATGAAAGCATCGCTACAATGTAGACAATCCCAACTACCACTAAAAGAACTAAAGCTAAAATACATTTTAGGAGCACAAGGATTTCGCGACCAATCTCAACTAAAACAGACAAATCCCCCGATTGTGCAACATTTTTGGGCTTCTTCGGCTAGATCACTACCTCATTAGCCGCCGTATCTGCCTGTTGTGCAAGATATTTTTGCACGAGTTCAACATACTCTTCCTTCTAGTAGAAGCCTGAACATCGTCCACTGCCATCCCACTGAAATTAAAACAAAAAATTAGAACTTTAATCACAACCATCATGAAAATAGGTATAAACTAACTATAATCATTAAATATGATAAAATAACTCATATTGCGATCCGGACACTTGTAGAAGATACGACCCTTGTTGGGACCCTCCTTCACTCGGTACTCCATCACAATCTTCGTCTCATCATGACACTTGCCGCATGGAATGAGAGGGAGGCCTGGCCTAAGTCGCTTTAGAAACCCATGAGAGGCCGAGGACCCGGAAGCAGTTGCCATCTACTCTCTATACTCATTTTTTAATACACTATAAATTTCTCATTTTATAAACAAATAAAATTAAGAAACTATAAAATTATCTATATCTCTAAACAATGAAGTGTGCTATGCATGCTAGAAATAAAAAGTGAATACTAATTTTAAATACCTACTTTAACCTTTCTTCATCCAAATATGCAAACTATAAGTTATTTTGAGCTCAAATTGTTTACAAATAAAAAAAACATGCAAGCTTGAAATTTAAAGGTTTCCAGAGCGTTTAACACTACTTTGCTTACCGAGAAAGTTGCTAGTGTTGTGTCGATTGCATTTTTCATGGCCGTGGCCATGGTCATTGTGTTCTCGTCTTTTACTGCGGCAGGTAAGTAATTCACATGATATTTCCACAAATTAACAGAAGAATGGGAGTGTACACACATAACAATCGATTATCATTTATATTTATATATATACTACGTTTGGGTACGGTGATTGACAGACTACTACGACGATATCGGGACGTGTGAATAAATAACCATCCATACTAGTGAAACTTGCTTACGTGATCATCTCGGCGAGCATTTCTCCACCGGACGGCATCATACTTGGCCACGGAAGAGCTCCGATTCTACGAGGAAGGGAACTAGGTCTTCCACGACCGTTGCCGCTCTCCCTCGTAGAATCAAAGCTCCTCCTTGACATCCGTTACCGCTCGGCAGAGAACATACTCACCGAGATGAACACGGTCCGCAAGTTCAACTAGCTACTTTAACCTTCCTTCATGTAAATATGCAAGCTTGAAGTGATTTTGAGCTCAAATTGCTTACAAATGAAAAAAACCACAATAAAAAACCATATATATATAGTGAATAAAATGGGATAAGACAATGGTGAAACATGAGAGTATGAAGTTGGTAACCTTTAGAACCGAAGAATCGACGGAGGAATCGAAGAAATCGATGGAGGAATCGAAGAATGGATGGAGAAAGAGCAAGAACACTGCTTAAATTTGAACTGAAGCTCTCGGGCGGGCTCGGGGAAGAAGAAGATGGCCAACAAGATTTATAGGGGGGACCTTTAGTCCCGGTTGATGGATCTAACCGGGACTAAAGGTCACTTTCCAGTCCCGGGCCACGCCACTAGCCGGGACAAGAGCTTTACTCCTAGTTGGAGCCACCAACCGGGAGTAAAGGTCGACCTTTAGTCCCGGTTGGTGGCTCCAACTGGGACTAAAGGTCCTCTGCCACAACGGTCTGACGCAGGAGCCGTTGGGCAGGGACTACACCAACCGGTACTAAGGTCTCTCTAGTCCCGGGCATAATATTTTCCAGGACTAGAGCCTGATTTGACCCTTGGATCAAAGGTCTGTTCTTTACTAGTGCTTGTAGTGTGCCAGTAGAAATTTTGAAGTTCGTTATAGCCATACATGTCTCTGTATTGTGATGCATTATTTGATTATACCTAAATAATGAACCTTTTGGTTTGGGGTGCACAAATCTAATAATAATGACTAAATCCGTAACAATAAATGAAGGGAGTCTAAAGCGTACCATATATAAGCAGGAAATAATGAGTAATTGTATTAGTACTATGGAATTCTTATGTAGCCGATCTGCATGTAGGCTGAAACTGTATTTATGGTCTATAAATTTCGTACGGCTTCAACATATTTGGCTATATCGGTCAAAACTAGGAAGAAATCGGCGGCCACAGATGGATGCCAAGGTGACGGTAATTCTCCTCGCCGTGTTCTTGGCACGGTTCCTTTCCCCTGCAATGTGTAAGTGTATACATTCATCCTATAATATATTTCTATATCTGAAAGAAAAGTTTGGGCACCATGATGTGATGTGGGTACATACTGAATGTTTGCAGGCGAAGGTGATGTCGCAGAGAGATCGACAGGCAGCGGTCACCAGTGGTCGCCAGCAGACGGTGAAGTGATAACTGAGAGAAGCAAGATCAAATTGAGACTATGCTTCAGAAATGCGTGTGGCGCTCACTGGAAAACCTGCTACTGCTGCGTAGTGCTGCCCCAAATCCCTTGCTACTACGGACAGCAAACATGCTGGAACAACTGCCCCGGTGCTGTACAGCCCCTGCAACCCGTGGCCGCTGCGCCGAAGGCACTGTCTCCTGGCAATTTTTATTGACTGTAGAGGGATTTCAATCGAACATGCAAATTTGAAGGGTAACTCAATAAAGGATTCCGTTGTTCAGTTTGAGTTCCGTACTGGTTGATTTCAATAAAATTTCGAAGGCTGATCAGCTTACCAAAACATTTAAAATTAGCCAGCAAAACGTATCCAACACAATATCATGTAGGGTTCATCTACACTTAACTGTAAAGTGTAAACCATAAAACTTTGGCGCAACAACAAACCACGAATATCGAAGACAATAATAGCTACAAAGTTTTCGATGACCAAAAGGCTAAGGGAGTAAAGCCATGGTTACTCTACTACAATATGAATATTTGGCGGCAATTTTGGGCTTACATAGATGGACAACCCGACTACTGTCTAATAAATAGTCTCCGTTGATTTACCATTTGCTAACCGTACCCACCTCTACTAATGTCATTATAGACGGGTTAAGACATCCATCTTTGTTAATAACATTTTTATATAATAAAAAATAGTCAAAACATAGCAACATAATTTTTTGAAATCCTGAGACAAAGTCTAGTTAGGCATCATTGTCGTGCGCATCCCAACCTATAAGTTACTTGATTTATGCACGAAATACGCGTACATGCTCTTCCTAGGATTTGAACATGTGAGCTCTTGCCTGGCGTGTCCCCTCTTACTAAACACTAACTTTTACTAGGAATAGGATGTTATATCCTTTATATTCACTTTTATTTAGAAGTTTTCAGTTGCATTTAATATTTTGGCTCCTAAACGATCTCAAATGAAAAAAGTTTTAACTATAAAGTTTTAGAACTTGTTGGGAATCCTAGTGAATTCAACTACAAATTTTATGTCCACACCAACTTCCTAGTACGTATATATAGCAACCAAGAATTTATGCATATATTCAAAAATATTTGTTATATATATGACATTAATGTTTCACAACTTTTTCCCTAGTGTGATAGGAAGCAATAATCAGGCATCGAATTATGTGGTATGCAGAACATACGTAATTGGCAAGTGCATAATATGCCTACTTTCTCTACATGTTCAAGAATCCATCCATAGTTTCTCAAAAAAAGAATCCATCCATAGTTTTGTTCACTTCTTCTAATCATAGCACACAGTAAGACTTTAGAAGGAATACTCTGCGACGGAACAAATCAAGCGTTTCAACTCATCAGCTTCATCTTTGATAAAATGATCGATGAAAAAGACAAGTTCTGCATAAACAAGCGGTTCTTATTATTCCTCGTTGCAGTAGTTCAAGTAAACAGACGACTTCAACTAGGGGATACCTAGCTTATATGAATTTTATATTACTACGCATACCAAGTGAGTTACCAAGATTCATGTCAATTGTACCCAGCCCTTCACCTAAATTAATTTATTTCGAAAGCTGCATCTAACATACATGATTAAAATCTGGATGCAATTCAATTTCAGAATAATATTGGCTAATAATAGCTGCTAATTATTAAGAGAGGCTTAATAATTCAACCTCTCCTATTAGCAGGTTCTAATAAACTTCTACAGTAATAGCTCCTAATGATTTATGCCCTATTTGGATCCGTATAAATAATAGCTATCTGCTAATAATTATATATCTCTTTTAGATTCAACAGGTGGCAGCTAATAAAATAGCTAATTGTTAGTTGGACATCTAGATAGTAACTATCTCACTAGCTAGTTTGACCAAATCAGATAATAGCAGCTAATAGTTTTCTTAGTAGCATTTTTTATTAGCTATGCATCCAAACACCCTCTAACTAATATGTTGCTATAATAGTTAGCTAGCTAATACTAGATATGAACTATTAGCCAGCTAACTATTAGCAAATAATGAATCTAACCAGAGCCTTATTTAGTATTCAACCTTCTATTGGTAGGTGGGACCAAACGACCTTCTTCTAATACTGCTGCGGAACACAGTAATTAGCTAGCAGTAATATTTAGCAGCTATTATTAGATAGCTAACTATTAACAGTAGTGGATCCAAACAAGCATGATATAATTATACTACCGTGAGATTCATCGGGTGGCGGCCTGTTTGTAGCTTCGACTCTATCTTACTGATTTATATATAAATTAAATCGCCTCAGGCTCCAGCATATTTGCCATTGGCTGTGTACTGTAGACAGGATATCTGTCAAAACTAACCCCACCCACACCCACACACACACAAAGGCTTGTGTGCTGGTTCACTGACTGTAGGTTGTTCAGCGGCCAGATGGATCATGTGAAGTTGAGGGCAGTTCTCTTCCTCGTGTTCTTGGCATGCCTCCAGTCCTCATCCTGGTGTAAGTGTAAGCTTACGTATCCATCCTGTAATTCCATATATATCTGATAAAGAAAAAACTTTTTAGGCATCATGTGATGTGATGTGGTGCATTGAACGCTTGCCGCAGGTGAAAGTGATTACTCAGATCAGAGATTGACTGGTGGCGAGATCACCCGGAGAAGCAGATTTACCGTGGTTCTCTGCTTAAAAAAACTTTGTGATCACTTGAAGCTTTGCTACTGCTGCCAAACACTGCCCGATAAGCCATGCTACTTGGAGCAGAAAGGATGCGTGGACATCTGCCCCTCCGCCAGTGCACAATCGCCTCAGCCCCTGCTCGCTCCAGCTCCACACATAGGCCCGCTGATGGTTCGCTAGCTAGTTAGAAACTCACTCAGCATCGCCGTCTCCGAGCAATTATTCGGCGTGTTCCACAACAAAGGATTCTTCCATTTATCGTTTTGAGTTTGAATTCCATACATGTTGATTTTAATTTCCAGGGTTTATCAAATAACCAAAAACTTTAAAAATCAGCCAAGCAAGTACCCGGGGCGACGCTGGGGGATCTCGTGGCCTGTAGAAAGAAGAAGGCTGCTAGCTAACTGCGCCGATGAATTACTACTGAGGCACCATCTCATTTTAGCAATGTACTTAATAAACAAGTATGGCTAGGGCAAGTTTTCAATGAATTAATGATTTTCTACAAATTATTAAAGAAATTTTTTACCTAAAAGACACAAATATCAATTAGAAGTGACTCTCACTGAAAATTGAAAATAACAATGAAAAGACAAGAATAGGAAGGCACCCTCACCATATGTGGCTTTTATGATGACTGTAAAAGTGACTCGCTGTTGGCAATGATATCTAGTTAACTAAATAATTTACCTTTTCTTTTGCGACGCATTGTCCTACTATATATACTCATACACAGATCTTATATTGCACTGGGAGAAAATTTTCTCAACATGCAATTTTTTCAGTTGATGGACGAATGCCACATGACTTTTTCTTCCCTCTCTCAGCAAGCTCCAATGACTACGTAGCTAGAGCGATGCATAGAAGTGTTCAAAAAATATTTTTCCTTTATTAGGATGATTTGGACATGATGAAGATATGTTATGTGTATATATGAAATATAGGTAGGGTACAAGAGACAAGCGTATATGAATTTTTATTACTACGTGTATGAATGAGTTACCAAGATTCATGTCAATACTCAATACCCGGCCCTTCACCTAATTTAATTTAATTCGAAAGCTTCATCTAACATACATGATTAATTTGGATGCAATTCAATTTTGGAATAATATTAGCAAATAATAGCTGCTAATTATTAGGAGAGGCTTAATAATTCAACCTCATATTAGGATGTTCTAATAGCTCCTAATGATTAAATGATTTATTTATATGCACATTTAACCAACTATATATATTCAAAATCCTATTAGTAGGTGGGACCAAACCACCTTCTTCTAATACTGCAGCGGAACACTAGTGGATCCAAACAAAACGAAAGCATGGAATAATTATACTACTATGAGATTGTGAGACATAGTCCAAGAAAGTTGCCCAGAACAGGGCGTTGGAGGTGCCGAAGATGGCCGCCGCTGCTCAGATCTGGCCGGCGTCGGTCACGAAGCCGAAGCATCTCTTGAAGCTCCATGAACAGGGCTATCTGCCGGAGCAGAAACATGGGGAATGGAAGGCACCTGGAGGGCACCGTATTCCCAACCTTGAGCCGGGTGAGGTTGGGGTTGCCTGCTTTTCCCTTTTTGCACGGGTTTTTGCACTATTATGGAATAACCCTGAATCATCTGAACCCTAACTCCATTCTGCATCTTTTGACTTTTGTTCATCTCTGTGAAACTTTCCTTGGCATCCCCTGTCCATCACTTTTTTCGCTATTTTTTCAAACTGAAACCACACCCGGACGCCACAAGTCCAAGTGTTTTGGGGGGTGCTGGTATTCAATTCTGTGTGGGGAGGAAGAACGAGTATGTCCACTATACCATGGTGTATTCTGTAAAGAACTGGAGGGCCGAGTAGTTTTATGCGGGGAACATGTGGCCCCCTAGAGGTCCATAGCAACACCGCACCAGTGCCCAACAACCGTTGGGATAAGGAGACGCTGAGTGCGACGGAACTTGAGGGTATTCGTCCTTTCCTCAAGCAAATCCGAGCCATGAAGGACCAAGGCCTCAGTGGAGTCGGAGTGGTTGCTAGCTTCATTAGACGCGGAGTACAACCTCTGTAGGAGAGGATCCACTATGGGTTCGAGTACATTGGGATAGAGGACCCTGCCCGGGTAACCACTGATGAACTGACGGAGGGTGAAGTTCTAGAGAGAATTCAGAACGTGCTTGCGTCGGTACAGGTGATACCATACCAGTACCCGGAGCATGTTCATCAAAATCCGCCAGCTGTTGTAAGTATATTGACATTGTAATATGTAAATATCTTAATACTATGAAGAACTAACTCCTGTGTGTTGATGCAGGAGTTGGGGCGTAATTTCAATGATTTGTCTGCCCATCCTCGGGGCGTATTTTCAATGATTTGCCTACCCGTCCTCCGCATCCTGACTCCAAAAGAGTTGGCGGAAGCGGAGCGGCGTCCGACGGAGCAGCCGAAGGGAGCGCCGCCTCCGCCGTCCCTATGGACCAGGAAGCCAAGGGTGAGTCTGAAGAGAGCCAGGATGTCGTCATAGTCCAGGCAAACCCGAGTGCTAGGCAGGGAGCCGCTGGTGGGAAACAGTCGTTGGAGGCTGATGTTACCATCGGGAGCGGGGCAGTGCCCAAGAGGCCCCGTCGAGCCTGCACACTGAGACCAGGTAAAAGATGTCTGAACTATCTCCATGTAGTCTGAATTTTACCCTGTGCTAAATGCAACTCGTGAACAGCTACTGCACATGAGGCTGTGGAGGAACAGCCAGATGAGGTGGAGGAAGATACCTCGTTTTCTGTCAGACAGTAAGTATTCTTTCCGAGTAAAATTCTATTACTAAATTCTTAACATAGGTGTACTTGGTGACGGTTGACGGTCACTAACACCAATTATAAACCGTCAACATAACATGCATTTATATTTAATTCCATAACCAAACATAGGTATGGGGGTTTAAACTAACGAATTCCAAGAGCTTTGGTAAAATATTTGTATGCAGGAGGATTTATCTAGAAAATAGCTCTCGGGACCACTATCATACACTCCAAACAAGCAAACCGACGACAACAAGTGATTCAACCCGCGAAAACTGCGAAAGACAACTCTAGAAGGTTCCAGAAGACACCACGCCGAAGCTTGGGCCAAACGTCCATGAAAGTGGGCTAGCCGACGCAATCCCTAGGCCGGCCGGCCTGCTCCGTCGTCCATTTAACCTCCACCGCCTCGTATGCATTTCCAAGATCTATACCGTTAATTTAAGGCGGTTTATAGTTGGTGCATCCAACGGTGATCGAGGAAATTGACGTGGATTGATGACATGGTGATTCCTTACCCCTAGTCCACCTCGATTCCTTGCCCCCTACTCCACCTCAGCCTATATATAGCAGCCCCTACCCTCCTCCCTAGAGGCAGTCCTGAAACCCTAATTCATATCCTCCTTGTCACGATCAGAGCCAGCTATCAAGAGAGGATTAGTCCTCCATAGGATCTAGTCTTGTAAATAATAGTGAGATGGAAAGTGAAGGAAGAGTTTGGAGGAGATGTCAGCCTATCGATGCTCTCTCTATGGCTTGTACCTTGGCAGATTCAAGTTCTATCTTAACTTGCCTCTGAGATTTCTCTGGTAATCAACTTATGATTCAAGTAAGCTTCTTATTTGTATTATTCATTAGGTTCGCCACTCGTTTGAGTGCTTTATTCTTTATCTAGGAAGAGTAAAGTAGTAATTATAGTGTAAGTGTGGTGCTTAGACTCTGATTACTTGTGGATGCATCCTACATTCTAGATTGGTGGTAGCTCACGAGGGTGACTCTTATAGCCTCGTTAAATCCTCTATAGTCCACCTCCTATTTGTAGGGCAAGTAGGACGCGGTTACTACAGGAAGCATCCTCTGCTGGTGTCTTTCCTTAAGTAATGTCCGCAGTTGAATAGTAGAAGACATAGCTTACCTAAGTCAGAACTAGTGAACCATAGTTTTCCTCTCTACGCTCCTATTTATATTAACCTTGTTGCTACCCCTAGTTAAGTTAGATCATAGTTAGTCTCACACGTTTCTCTGTGGATACGATACTTGGAATACTTCTGGGTGAAAGCTGCAGCGGTATCCGTATGCATACGGATTTATCTATGTGCGTTAAATATACCAACAAGCTTTTTGGTGCCGTTGCTGGGGACACGCCTACCGAATTAACTATGAACCTAGCTTAACCTTTTATCTTTTATTCTTTCTTTTGTTTTTCTTTTTTCTTTTACATGGATTACACACCTATATATCAATATGCTAAACCCATGAGCGCACGTCTAGAGCCACCAAAATCTTCAAAGCCTATCCTAACACATGGCTATGAGCTGTGTCCGTGCTTTATAAAATTGATTCGAGAACAATCCTTCTCGCGAGAAGGCGATGAAAACCCATATTCACATCTACGAGAGTTTGAGCAAACCTATGCATGCTTGCGTATCGCTGGCATGTCTGATAAGACCTTAAGATGGAAGTTGTTTCTGTTCTCTTTGACGAGAATAGCTAAACAATGGTATAGTCGAACCGTAGGAAGTATGCAAAGAGATTGGGAAATGCTATGCTCTAAATTTTGTTTACGTTTCTTTCCCATCTCTAAAGTAATCAGTCTTTAAAAAGAGGTTCTAAATTTTAGACAACTAAAAGAAGAATCTCTTGGCACATCGTGGGATCGTTTTAATGACCTCATCGTCACTGGCCGGGACCTTGCTATTCTAGACCTAATGCTCCTTCAACATTTTTACATAGGTCTTAGCAAGGATTCCATGGAATCCCTTGATGTAGCCTCTAGAGGAGCTTTCCTTCATCTGTCTACTAGTGAAGCAAGGTCTATGCTTGATAAGATTAGTGGAAAAACTTCCTACACTAGCAATCATAATAAACTCCTTGAGGAAGAGAAGGAATTATCTCCCGAAGAAGAAGAAGTTTTGATAACCAAATCACAACCACTTCAATCCCAAGGTTTAGCTATCAATCCCGAACCATCTATACCCCAAAATCGGAATCCTCCAAAGGAAGAAGAAATTCAACCTTTTGAAATTTCTTGTGAGGATGATCTTTTTTATGATTTTAGGAAAAGCTTAAACTTTCGATTTTACAAGAGACTTTCGAGTGAATATAATTCAAATCCTTTCAAGAAGAGATCTCTTAGAAAGCGTCCTTATTCCCATGTAAGACATTGGAAAGAATTCAAGGATGGCATGTCTAGTGAACCCATAGAAGGAGAGCCAAGTCATTTAGAAGCAATTCCTATCTTCTCCCCTTATATGCCCACATTAGATGTCTCATTCAAACCCATCCTTGACCCCAATGATTGCTCTTATGCTCTTTCTCCTAAAACTCATGATGATCTTAGAAATCCACCAAGACACCCAAAGTATAGGAGTCATGAAGGCCACAAAGATGACCAAGAAGAGCAACGACAATGGCTGGAATGTATTAAGAACTTATATGCCATTGCTAAAAAATAGATAGACAAGGACGAAGCCCTATGCGTAGAATCCAAACTTGGCTTAGATCCAAATAGTGAGCTTAAATCAATCTCTTTAATAAACAAGACTCATCCAAGTTTGGAGGAGGCCTTAGACAAGATCAACCTGAGAGCCACCAATCCATGGGAAATCTTAGATAATAAAATGTCCAATGAATGTCATAGGCATGGAATGATGGAGACAATGTTTCTGCCTATAGACATTCATGAAGAAACAACCTTGGAGTCTGAAAAGGATGATGACATCGATGAGCTTGGAAGTTATTTCATGAACACCTCATCAATTCCATGCTCACATGAGAAATCTCCTAAATCAATTGGTCTCTCCAACATTGCCACATACGAGATCTTCAACACCCTTATACTCCCTATTCATAAAGACTTTGAAAGGGTGGTTGTAGATGCATATGTTTATCATAAATATTGCAAATCTCGTTGGCATGAATCTTGAGATATGCACCCAAAGGTTGGTGTTGGAGGGGAAACCACTTCACCAATTTGAAACGATTCAAAGGTTTCCCAAGGACGAGCTTCTGTCCAAAAACAAGCACTTTCAGGAGATAACAAGAATTTTCACCTTTTGCTGTGATGCCTTTGTGAAATGAGCATAGAAATATAATTGTGAAAATATTCCTTCGGGTATTTTTGCCACTAACCATTCCATGTTTGAAGCAAAAAGAATGAATGATGATGACGCAAGATATATCCAACCAATTATCATGCAACATTTAATCACATCCATCCAAACTTAATTTTGTTGCAAAATTCAAGCTAAACTTCCCTAAAAACATCTCTTGCCATATTGCTAATTTGTCTTGGTTATCTCTACCTTTAAGCCATACTCAATTTGCTAAATAACAATCATGCTCTTTCATCTCCATTAGAATAAATCTCTATAATGCTTTCATGCTACCTTTGTTTACTATAGTATGCTTAAGGTTTGGAGTATGTTCATACATCTTTTAAATTAAGCATGGTGCTTAGTTTAGGAGTGTTGATCTTAGTTCCAAAGGCTTTTAAATTAAGCATGGTGCTTTGGTTAAAATGCCTTTCTAAATCAAATTAGACGTGGTGTCTAGGTTGATTTTTGAGTCGATAGTTTGCTATAGTAGATATTGGATATTTTGTTGGACTAACCCCTACAGGAAACTCTTAATTCAATCTGGGTAAGTCACGAGATGAATTCAAATAAAAAATGAAGCAAGGCACATGATGAACTCCAATAACTCTGTGAAAAGAAGACACAACTCATTCATCCTAGATGGAGGAACTTAAGTCTGCGGCCCCAATGAACAACATCTCGTCAACAAAGAATCAACAAAAATCAAAGAGAGGTTGACGAGAGAAGAACATGCAACTTGTCGCATCCTCATCTCCTGGATCAGATGATGCAAAGAAAAGCAAAATACAAGGAGAGGTCTTGATCAACGGACCTAATAAGCCCTCACCACAGGAGATCATTTGTGACAACAAATCATTGAGGCATAAAATAAAGGGTGAGCCAAAAGATCCAACAAAATGGTAGGATCGAAGAGCAGAAATATGGCATGACAAAAGGGTGAGAAAGAAAGGGTGCAATCTAAAAGACAAGAAGCTCATCAACAGCTCAAGATGCGAGGCTAGCTGAATAAGAAAAACTTCAAGCAAATGGAAAGGACCACCACGAGTCATCTACCCTTCGACACATGGTGTCATCATGCTCCAATGACAAAGGTAACATCCTAAGGTAAATGATCATGATTTAAAGAATTTTCCTTGATTCTGGTAGGCACATAAATAAGAAACAAACATGTTCGAATTACAACTTACTTAATCCAACCAGATTAACTCAACATGTTTAGTTCTTTAAGTTTGTTCATAGCACCACTTTCTTGATCTCATAGTCTTAACCAAATAAACTAAAAAAGTGCATATCACATCTTTGGAAGATAATAGTCATAGTCATGTAAAGATTGATACATTATGCGCAGATAGACAATCCTTCCATGGGTTAAGAAACTCAACCCTTTTAGCCTAATAAACTTAAATACTACATTCATGCTCAACCTTATGATCTTACCACTAATGTTATAATGGAATACAACACATAACATCAACTTCACCTTGTTCAATGTGCCTAAGGTTAGAGAAGAATAAGTAAAGTTTTGGTTTTGTTGGTGTTTTTCCACCAACAGGGCCTATGTACTTGATCTCTACCTTATCTTTATGAACAGGACACACTTCAAGCAAAGTGTGAGGGAAGACATCGATTTCCTAATTTCTACAAGTGAAAGTTTTGAACCAAGACAGGTTTGGCGGAA